GGGTAGGGGAGGCAGGGGATTGTCAAGGGGCAAAAAAAAAAGGACACATATGTAATACTTTTTGTAATACTTTAAGCAATAAAACAAAATTAAAAAAAAAGAGTCACCTGGATAGCTTTTCCAAATTCTGCTGCCCAGGTCACACCCCAGACCAACTGAACCACCTCAGGATTTTTTAAAGATTACTGGGTGATTCCAGGCTTGGGAACTACTGTGGCAGCAGGGATGTTGAAGGGTTTGAGGAAGAGAAAAGGTTCAGTTTTGAACATGTTAGTTTAAGATGCCTGTGTTTAGCCCAGCTGGTGTGTCTCAGTGGTTGAGCATTGAACTATGAACCAGGAGGTCATGGTTTGATTCCAGCCAGGGCATATGCCTGGGTTGCGGGCTCAATCCCCAGTGGGGGTGTGGAGGAGGCAGCCAATCAATAACTCTCTCTCTCTTCATTGATGTTTCTATCTTTCTCTCTCCCTCTCTCTTCCTCTCTGAAATCAATAAATATCCTATATAATAAAAGCCTAATATGCTAAGTGTCCGACCATTCGTTCAACCATTCTACCAGTCGCTATGACGCACACTGACCACCAGGGGGCAGATGCTCCAACCAGTAGGTTAGCTTGCTGCTGAGGTCTGGCCGATGGGGACTAGGCGAGACGGGCTGGACATGCCCTGGAGCCCTCCTGGGGTCCCTCCCCGGCCTTTAAAATATTTCTTCTAATTAATGTCCTTTCAATGTGCATGAATCCGTGCGCGAGTAGCTTGCTGCCGCTTGCCTCAGCTGGCCACCCCGCCCACCACTGCTGGTAGCTCTCCACAGCTCCTAGCTTGCTGCCCCGCCCTCCTGTGGCTCTCTGCTGCTTGTAGATTGGTCATGACATTGCAGCGTCCAGGCTAATGTGCATATTCCTCTATTATTATATTAGATTTTAAAAGATGCCCATGTTTAGCTAAACTTGGATGTCCACTAGACAGTTGACTATGACATTCTAGAGCTTGGAATAATTTATACTAACTAGCACCTACTGGTTAACAACAACAGTCAAAATAGCCAATATTTATTGGCTACCTGCCATGTGTCAGGCACTTGTAAAAGTGCTTTTCATGTATTAAATTAACTCTCCCAATGACCCAGTGAGGTTAGTACTATTGTTATGCCCATTTTATAGGTGAGTGTTTTACTTACATTACCCAAATCCAACTTTCCCAACAACTCTATGAGGTTGGTGATGATCATTATCTCTGTTTTACAGATAAAGAATGAGAAGCTCGAGGATGTTAAGTAAGTATCACAGTAAGTCACACAGTAAGTATCAGAGAAAGGATCTGAAGACAGATCTCTCTAACCTCAATGTCTGTTGCAACTAAAGCCACAGGAGAGGTAATGTTGCCTAAGAAAACATTCTGGCAAGCCCAGCTGACATGGCTTAGTGGTTGAGCATTGGCCTATGAACCAGGAGGTCAGGGTTCAATTCCTGGTCAGGACACATGCCCGGGTTGTGGGCTCGATCCCCAGTGTGGGGCATGCAGGAGGCGGCCCAATCAATGATTCTCTCTCATCATTGATGTTTCTATCTCTCTCTCCCTCTCCCTTCCTCTCTAAAATCAATAAAAATATTTAAAAAAAACATTCTGGGAAGAGAAGGAGGCCAAGGCAGAAACTTGGAGAATAATTAATGCATAGGCAGGGGAGGAAGAGTCCAAAAAGAATAAGGAAGGGGAGGAATATGGAGATACTGCAAAAACAAAACAAACGAAAACCCTCACGGGAGTTCTGAGTTCCGAACTGAAAGATTAAGAGACACACCAAGAAACAATCCAGGGATGTAGCAATGAGAAGGGGGCTGGAGAGGCAGAACTGGAAAGCAGATTTTGGTGGGTTTGAATGGAGAAGGTAAATAAGGGCTGGCTCTTAAAGGAAGGATGTGAGAGGAATGACTACAGGGAGATAGAGGATCGAGAAGTGATTTTTCTGTCCCTTCTGAAAATGAGAGTGATGTAAGCACATTTGTATCCCAAGGGAAAAGAGCCAGATGACAGAAGGTTGAAGACACAGAAGAAAGACAGGGTATTTCTTTTTTTAAATATATTTTTATTGATTTCAGAGAGGAAGGAAGAGGGAGAGAGAGATAGAAACATCAACGATGAGAAAGAATCATTGATTAGCTGCCTCATGCAAGCCCCCCTATTGGGGATCGATCCCGCAACCTGGGCATGTGCCCTTGACTGGAATCGAACCTGGGACCTTTTAGTTCACAGGCCGACTGGCTATGGCAAGACAGGGTATTTCATAAGCAAGGTCCTTGAAGAAGCTGTAGCTCTGGGTAGGGAATGAACTTCTTTCCTTCATATAGGAAGAAAGAACGCCAAGTGGTTAACACGATGAATTTTGTATATCCTATATAATAAAAATGTGATATACAAATTGACCCTCATGCCCTCACATCACAAGATGGCCGCCCCCATGATGTCACAAGATGGCCACCCCCATGTCTTCGCAAGATAGCTGCCCCATGTCATCACAAGATGGCTGCCACCAGATGGTTGTCCCCATGTCGTCACAAGATGGCTACCCCTATTGTCACAAGATGGCTGGCAGGGGAGGGCAGTTGGGGGTGACTAGGCCTGAAGGGGAGGGCAGTTGGGGGTGACCAGGCCTGCAGGAGAGGGCAGTTGGGGGTGATCGGGCCGGCAGGGGAACAGTTAGGTGTCAATCATGCTGGCAGGGGAGTGTTTAGGGAGCTATCAGGCTGGCAGGCAGAGTGGTTTGGGGCAATCAGGCATCCAGGCAGGCGAGTGGTTAGGAGCCAGCAGTCCTGGATTGAGAGAGGGTCAGGCTGGGCTGAGGGACACCCCACCCCCAGTGCACGAATTTCATGCACCAGACCTCTAGTAGAGTTAATAAGTAGATGGAGTTGTTGCCCTATAGCAGTGGTTCCCAAACTTATTTGGCCTACCGCCCCCTTTCCAGAAAAAATATTACTCAGCCCCTGAAAATTAACTTTTTTAAAATTTTAATAGCAGTTACTCATCGCCCCCAAATGCACCTGTGGCCATCACCGCCCCCCTGGATCGCTGCAGCGCCCACCGGGGGGCGGTAGCGCCCACTTTGGGAATCACTGCCCTATAGATTTTATCACCTCTATCATCTGCTTGGCAGAGGAGAGGACATAATTTTTGTTATTGTCTTTTACAAAAGCACTGGCCTGCACCATAATGGGGGAAAATTAACTGTTCCTATACAACGATTAGGTTGAGAAGCATTATACTAGACCATATGACTAGAACAAACCAGAAAAGAGAAAGTCAAGGTAGACTAAGAACTATGAGCTTTGGATAGTTTGCCTGTAAGGAAAGAAGGTTTTGCCTGAGTAGATATTGGGACTCAGGATAAAAAGATAACAATGACATGAGCCAGCCAGAAAAACAGACAGATGTCAGCAAGGAGGAAAGCTGACAGTGATTACTCATCTTGATCAAATAGTAAAAATTTGCTACAAAGAACAGAAAATTGGTCCCATTCCTAGTGAGTAGATTTAACTAGAGAGAACACGCCACTCAGCCACAAATGCGGCCCTACACAAAAGGGATCGATCCCTGGCTGAGTTCATCAAACAGAGCACAGAAATCCCTCCCCAACTGCAAGTCTCCATCATGCAAATTCAAGCACACATACCTTTTCAGCGACTGTGCGCATTTCAGTTCCAGTATATGTAAATTTGGAGTCACTCCTTTTGGGGATAAATTAGAAAAAAGGGAACAATAAAACCTTAGCAGAGACAAAGGAAGAAGGAAAGTAAACTGAAGCTAACGCTGTGAGAAGCAGTCTGACACACATGCATATGTGGCTGAGTGTATAAAGTTTTCATGGGCAAAGCTAAACTCCTAGTATCCTTGGTATTAAAGAGGTGGGCATGAGAGTACACATTCTGCTATGCTTCTAGGTTTAAATTAAAACTTCAAAGCATCCAAGCTACTGGAGGTCTCTGAGATCACTGTAGGACTCAGCAGCAGGAGGCGGAAAGCCATGGAGATGGAAGAGCGAGTTTAGATGAAGGAATGGGTCAATAGGGGGAAATGTCTCTTAATATGCACATTATCTGCCACAACGAAAATGACCAGTATCTCACTGTCATTTTAGGGGAGACAGAACATAAAAACATATCAAGCAAGGAAATGGAGAATAACAGCACCATATCAGTCAACAAAATTCTATCTGTAAGAGCATTCACACGTTCACTCATGATCTTGTTTCCCTAAACCACATTTTTCACATAAGGTCACAGATATATCAACTGAAAATCCTCCTACTAGGAAGTTAGGTGGAAACCAATCTTCAGGATTGGGAAGCTATTGAAAGTGTATCATTGAGGGAGCTCCAGACTGACCATGGTAATTTAAAATACAATCCCTAACCAATATTGCCAAGCTTGTCACAACTCTGAGTTAATAATGGCATATAGACCAAAAGATACGAGTAAACAAACATTGTCTTACCTGGTGTCATCATTCAACTAGAGTGAGAAAGAGGAGAAAACATTATTGATCACATTACGCTTATTTGATGTACATGACACAGATTATACGAAAAATAGGGCATGCGAGCATGAAAAACTGGAGAATTTTTACTTCGGATTGTAAGCAACTAAGCTCTATTTCCTCATCCTCTTTCGCTCCTCTGCAACATTTTAACGCTGCAGAAACTTTTGTGTCTTTGAAACCCTCTCCTCTCTTAGATTCTTCGATACAATTAAAATGCATCCTACAGGAAAGATTGCAGCTGCCCTAACAGTGGTCAGTAGCGTCTTAATACACTGATGTCCTATTGTGCTATATTGTCTTTCTGGCCTGACTTTCAGGTTTGGTCAATGGGGTGATAACTTCCAGATTTACAGAAGAGGCCAGAGATTAGTAGAGAAAAAAGCTCTCCCCCACCCCTAGCTTAGCCGGAACGCTGGGGGGTGCTGGGAGGTTAACCAAGCTTCAAGCAACCCGAGGATACCGAAACTCCGCGACAGGACCATCCAAAGGATCTGTCCCAGGATCAAAGCCAGGGTGCCTGTGGCCTCCGCAGCCCTGGGCGCTGCTAACACCGACCCGAAGGACACACTGGGCTGCTCATCAAGGTTCCGGCCAGGCTAACTCACTGACCTACTCACCTCCCCTATGCACAGTCCCATCACCTCCTCCTTCTCTGTGCTCAGAGCGTGGTTGAGACAAACTAGGAAAGCATCCGACTCCAGATGAACCGCCTGCACCGCTTGCACCACCTGCATCGCCATCTTGGTCCGACCCTGCTCACGTCCGCCTAGGGCCCACTTAGGCCTGACCAACCCTGAGCTCCAGCAAGCGGGTTCCGCGGGGGCGGGGGCTTGGGGAGCGCGGGCGGCGCGGGGCGGGGAGGGGGCGGAGCTAAAGGCGCGCGGACAAGGCGGGCGGGGGCGGGGGCGGAGTTTGTGCGGGGGCTGGAGTTTGGGCGGGGGCGGGGCGCCCAGCGCCCCTGGTGAAACGCCCGCGCCGGTTAAGGACAGGCTGGGACTTCGGGGCAGATGCCTGTGGACGTCCCCGGAAGGGGTTCAGGCCGGG